CTTATTTGTGATTGTTTAGATTTTTAATTCACGTTAATTATTTGAAATCAATTATTTTATAATAAATCAATTTTTTATTTCTTTTTATTTTCACCTAAATTTATCATTTTTTGTCTATAAATAAAGATTTGGTTCATTTGATTTGGACATATAAAAAAAAATTCACTTTTTTTCTCTATTTTTTCTATTTAATCTCCAATAAACTCTTGTTTTATCCACTTTTATTTGTTTTAATAATGATTGTTGTACCCCAAAATTTACTCTCTCATTTCTCAAAGGACCACCCTGAACCCTCAGGTTTGCTTCCATCCAATTTCAAGCTTTGAATTACAAATTTTTTAAGAAAGTTATTCACAATGGCAAAATGGTCATTTGCATACTGAAAAGTCAAACTTTGACTTTTGGATCAAAATCAAGTTTCAAGAATCATATTTCAGCAAGACATGTTAAAATATGAAGTTTGTTTCATTAAGAAAGTCAAAAGTCAAATTTGCTATTGGAAAAGTCAAAATTCCAAATACTTAGAAATTTTTCTAAGTGTTTAGGAAATATGATGAGCTCAGAACTTTTGATCAGATTATCACCATGATGCAAGATGATTTTGGATTAACTTCTAACGCAAGAGTTATGGACTCAAACAAGATCTGAAACATTGCAGAACAAAACTTCTCCTAGAAATGCTGAGATTTCAAGTTATGACTCCTCAAAGACACGTCCATGAAACTGAAGCTTTCAGCAAATTCTGGACAGTTCCAAGACAGAGTTTGGTTACAACTTCTGGACAGTTTTCACAAAGATTCAGTCAGAGTTTGCAAGGGTAATTCAAAAAAGGTTTACAAAGCGTGTTGCAAGCTTACTGGAAAGTCTGAGAGCTCCTTCAGAACATGCTGGGGCAAGGAGATACAAAGATCAGAAGTTGGATGTTTATTCTAAATTATGCTGAAGCTGAACCTCTGACCCAGAATTAAGCAATGATGCAAAATCTCACATTGCAGGATTTCTGGTTTGATAAATTTAAATCTCATCATCATTTAATACTCACAACCACTTTTGAGTCTTTATCCAAAGGATTTCCCCATGTGTGAGATGGAAGTACTGTTATTGTCCTTGAAAAGTAAACTTTTGTACAAAGTTATGCTAGGCTCATGCTTTGTTTTTGCCTCTGAGGATACTTTTTCTTAATTCATGCTTATAAATTCAGTTTAGGCATGGCTAAAAGCTGCTAACCATCATACTTGCTTCAAGAACAAGGCAACACCTTAGCATTTGAAGACTATGTTCAACACTTCGGTCAGAAGATCACCAAATCCCAAAACTTCGTGCAGCACAATCCTATAACCAATAGCTAATCCAGTCCACGCCTGTATTTTCTCAAATCCCATATTTGCACCAAACTAGCATACGAAAATGGTGATCAAAAACAGTGGAACAGTGTGCCAAAAAGGTTCAAATCTCATTTGTTTTCCCTCCAAAACCACAACAAATTCACCTATAAATAAGTTGCTCCATCACAATTTCAAGGGGCTGGTTTTGGGAGAGAGAAATTGTCAAAAGAGAGAAAAGAAATTTGTGAAAACTTCATAAAAATCCAGAATTTCCAAACAGAAAACCAAACCTTTGTTCTTCCCTTTGAATCAAATAACTTGGCATTTTCTCTTCCGTTGCTCTTGCTGACTCCAGAACATCTGAAGGCAGCAGTTCAAGTTCCAAACACACACTCCAGATTTAAGGTAAGTATTTCTGACTTTGCATCTTTTCATTCAGAACATCATTAAATATGTAAATATCATAGTATTGATGTTGTCCATATCTATAAGTAGAAAAACCGTGGATCAAAATTTCTTGATTAAGGCTAGACTCAGAATTAGGATTAGAACTTTTATAAACTGTTGTGCTTCTATCCTTTTGATTTGTTGTTTGTTAAGAACTGAATAAATTGCTGATGTGTTGGTTAGTATGAGGAAAGAGTTTAAATGTGGCATAAAACCTCTAATTTTCACTCACTGTTTTAGCACAACACAACTTTTGAGTTCTCTTCATTGTTTTAACACACATAACTTCTATGATTTTTTCCACTGTTCAAACATACTGAATTTCTGATGTTCACTCACTGTTAAAACACTGAACTTTTGATGTTCACTCACGGTTTCAGCACAACACGTAACTTCAGAACTTGTTTTCACTGTTTTAATACACTGAATTTCTAAGACTTTCTCACTGTCCTAACTCTCAGAAGTTCAACACATAGCAACCCAGAACTTTTGTTTCTTTCCTCTAACGTTTCATGCAGGACCTCAGAGTATACCAATCAAGAACTTATGATTCTCACTGACGTTTCTTTGAGTCACGGCACGCTTGGCATCAGAACTTCTGATCCCTTTTGTTATGCTTGCATCAGCACGTTGATCCTATCTCTCATTATTTTCTTTTTTCCCTATCATTTTCAATATTAATACCCTTTTTATTAATATAAAAAATCCATAAAAATATTTTCTTTTTTTAATTAATTTATTTCTTTTTTAATTCATTAAGTCAAAAAACCACTTTCAAAACAAGTCCATTTTATATTTTTTGTGTACTATTTCAATATGGTTATAATAAATAATTAGGACTTTAATTTCTTACAATCCCCATTTGTAAATTTGTACACCTCATCCCCATAATGATTGTAATAGCGTAGAATCTTTATTTTCCGCACTTTTATTGCTTTCATATATTGTTAGTAATTAGGGTGTGTATGGCAAGACATGAAATTGACAAGTAGATAACCCTAATCAAGACTAAAATGCATGCAATCAAACACACTTGCACACTAGCACCCTTAGGGTAAGCCCACCTTGTTGCCTATCAGAAAAAATAGTCATGTCCCTCGAACATGAGCGTTTTAGCAAAAGACCCTCGATAAAAGATCGTAGTCCCTCGATGACCCTTTGATGTTGCCTTCGATAAACGATCTAGTCCCTCACACGATATTGCTAAAATGTTCCATGGGTTGCCTTCTATGACTATACAAAAACGTCCCGCGCCCGTCCCTTCACATTCAATGATGGGGCTTCTTACTAAATCAATGGTAAGATAGCAATGTCTAAAGGAAGAGGAAAAGAACATCTAAGACCTTTTGAGTAGGTAGATTCGCTCCTAGTTGCTCGCTTGCTCACAACAAAAACATTTTATACACCAACACACCTCTTTGAACTATTTTCGAAACCAACACTTTGTACGCATTCTTATAGAGACGAGAATCATTACAAAGTCATATTTTCAAAATACTTTCAAAACCCACACCACAAGCACATTCAAACAAAAGCAAGTGATCTAGCAAGTAACTAAGAGCCCATGGAAAACCATGAATGAAAAGGGTACTAATACCTTCCCTTTTCATAATCTACCCCCGAACTCAAGAAATAATCTCGAAGGTCCTTCCTGTGCTTTTTCACCTTTCCTTTTGGATAAAAGAAAAGTCGGTGGCGACTCTTGCTAACCGCAACATTTGCGATCAAACGCAAAAACACCCAAGTCAATTCTCCCACCGTATCACAATGACTATCCCTATAAAATTAGAAGAAAAAAATTTGTGATTATCCCCTTATAAAACACAGATTCCTTTTCTAGACACCCCTATTGCACTAACTGATCAGTAGAATCTTTTTAGTTGACATTATTACATAATACTTTTTATTTTTGATTTTTATATATATTATATTTTGTAACGTTTTTTATTAATTTTTATTGTTTGTTTTTTTATTAATTTTTATTAGATTATTTTTATTAATATTTTTTATTTTTATGAATATTTATTAATAAATTAATATGTTAAAATGTAATTTTGGGTCTCTAAGTCATTAATTTGTCACACAGTCCAACAATGAAGTTTTAATAATAGTTGAGTAAAAGATATATATAAATTTTTACATTTGATCAAAAACTTTTGATGTGGGACTCATAACCACTGGCCACCATACAATTTTCATCATCTATAATCACTGTCACCACCTTGTTTCACCTCAACTCACAGACTCAGAGCTTGATGAGAAACAACCTTTACCTTCAGTTTCCTTCTCATTTTTATTAATTTATTCTCAAAAATTAAATCTTATTGAACCAGTGGTGCTTTAATTAAAAGCTTTTACGAATGCATGAAAGAAATAACAAGACTAGCCAACACAAATACATGATAACAACATGTAATAACCATGCACCCAATATAAAATCATACCTCATCAAGCTTTAACAAGTCCATAGTTGGCTTCCCTTTGAAAAATGAGATAAGTTTTCAATTAAAAGAAATGACTCAATTCCTTAGTTGCAAAAGCACTGTCCTCTAATTTTCTGCAAAGACTTATTTAATTATTTGATAATTAATGATAATGTTGTTAGAGTATACAATTTAAATGATGTGAAATTTAAGCTTATAGACGAAAATATTGAAGCCAATAAATTGTAGAAAAGCAGCATCAATCTGCAAATGAAATCGAGTTCGAAACATTCCAATTTTATTTCATTTCAAGTAGTCATACTTTGAAATGTAAATTCTTGTAAAAAAAAGGAAGTCATTCAAAAATTCTAACAAAGGGATTGGAAGACCGTATGTAGAAAAAATAATTATATTGCTTCTAATTCTGAATATCCAACAAAAAAAACTCTCTGAATAGTCACCATATGCATCTTAACTAAAGAATTTGCTAAGATCATTTTATATGAGAGATCTGATAATGGCAAAATATTATATCTAAAATTCTGTAATTTCTCTACTAGCCATGGATCCAAGTTGTTGCAGACATCGAACACAACCAAAAGAAATTAACTTCTTTATCTTAGAGGTGTCTTCACCAAATAGTTTAAGATTTTGATATAGTCAATTTATATGGCATCAGAATCCTCCCTGGCTATTATATATCCATTAGTTGTTTGGGCCATATGAACTGATGTAGGAAGAATTTATGGCATGATCAATGCATGAAAAAACTATTCTCTTTCATAATAGTTAAGACAGTAGGGGAATGCATGGTTTTTTGTTTAAAATATTTTTCAAGAATAAGCAAGAAGCTGAGAGTGCAATTGTTGTATTGGTGTCGATGTATGACAAAAGTATAGAAGAAATGCTTTATGGAAAAACTGAATGCAAACAAATTCTGGTCGTTCATGGTGATATAATGATGTCTTACTTGTGTTTCTGCTATGGTCTTCCCCTTCCTTGATCAACCAATTTTTGTTTCCAACAAAACCCATTTATTAAACCTAAAATATAACTCCGGTTACAGCTTATATAATACCCTACATATATGACTTTTGCAGGCCGGAATGAAATGAAGAAGAAGGTTGAGTCGTGGTTGAAATGAAATGAAAAGAAGTATGTGCAAATGGAATGGAATCAATTGGAAATATAATGAAAATTTGATGATATAGAAAACATGCATGAGCAATAATATGTTTATTCATAATACCACCTGCATTTACATCATAAAGCATTCATTCATTTGAACTCCTAAAACACGAGATCAAAGAGGCCTTGGTATTAGGGTTTTGGATCATAAATAATATGGACATCTTCATTGACACGATTCCCTAGGATAAAAGTCGTCTTCATCAATATACTTCCAATATCATAAGCATTAAGGGTTTCAACTTGTCGTGCTTAAGGTTTCATCATGCTTCAATTGAGAATGTTTTGAGTTAGAGTTTTAGTCCTCTTCAAGCTCTCAAATTATCTCTTCATTATTGTGCTTTCAAAGTAAGAGTATCGGAGTTTCTCATCTATTGTGCTCAAGTTTGTTGAGGTGTTCTTCTATGCTTCAAATTCTATCATCTTCAAGATTTTCTTCAAGACATTTGTTTTAAGATCTTGGTTATCAAGTTAAGGTGTCTTTGTGGATTGAATTTCAAAACATGAATCATGTCACGAGAGATGATGTTATAGGCTCACATGTTTTATGAATTCCATATTATCAAATAATCAAGAAGCATAATTCAAGGTATTGGTTTATGAACCCCTTACAGTTGATTCAAGCACGTAGATTGGAAAGTCCATTTATATAAATATGTTTTAAGTGCAAAACATTCAATTGGATCAAAGTTTCTCAAGATTCTAACATGGTAAGTTTAGAAAGTCTGTTCATGTGGATTGCTTGGAACTTAAAGCACAAGTGCAAAAGGCATTCATCACGATTCAATGCATACAAGTTTATTCAAAGTTCACAATAAAAAAAATTCAAGTTTAAAGGGCAAGTTCAACATTATTTAACATCATCAAATTGCAAATATCATTCACCATCATTCAATTTTACAACAAATATTTAACATTATTCATCATTTCTTGAAGATTCAAATTACAAAATGTCCATATAAAAAAAACAAGTTGCAATTATGCCAAAGCTTGAACTAAACAATTCTGAAACAGTTCAAAGCGTGTCTAAAAAAACCTGACCCAAAACCATGTCCAAGAAGTTTGTTGTGTGATACAACAAAATCAGTCCATTAATATACACACACATTCGTTACAATCACAAAAGACTCCAAACGCCATTTCTACCTTGTTTGCAAACCCGTCTCCTGATCATCAGATATTCCTGATATTGTTGTTCAAGTTTTGGATCCCAAACTCGGCAGAAACAGATACATGTTTACTGCTAGTGATAGAACAAAGAAGCTGAAGACAATTCTTCAGTCAAGTCTGTCCTCAGAGTTGCTCTTGGAGAAGGTTCAGAACCGTGTTCTTATTCGCGTCCTTGAATATACTCTCGACGTTATCCCCAATAAACCTGAGAAGTTCTGAATTGTAACCAACTGTGAACCGGTTTGTCCTGCACTTGAAGCAGAGATAAAAAGTAAACAACCCATTATCACTTTGAAACCAGAGACATAATATGGGTGCTGTCCTAAAATCTGCCACTCAAATGGTTCATGAGCAACATGGAAATTCGGCTTTCGCTGCTAGAACGCCCATGACACGTAGGGTGTATCCTCTTGTTCTTTGAATCCTTATATGGTTACCTGGACAATTAAGGAGGGTGTTACAAACAAAAGAACCTTGCGTACGTATAGGAATGCTAGAAGAAAAAATGTGTATTCAATGTTGAATTAACTGATGAAGATGGCACACAGATTCAAGCAACAATGTTTAAAGACACCTGTTAACTGGCTATTTCGAATAAGGAACAATTTGTTAGCTGACTATTTCGAATAAGGGAGAAACCACTATCAAAATAATATTTCGAATAAAGTACCTAAGAAGATTAATATCAATATTGGATATTGGTAGGAGATATGGAGTCATTATGCTGAAGGATTATTCAATTTCCAACGGATTTCGATTTGGACTTGTTTTAGTGTTCGAATTATAAAAGAGCTCATTTATGTAAGGGTGCCAGAAGTTGGAAACGGTCCAGGTAATTGGGTTATTTCGAAAGCAACAAAGAAGCAAGATGCTTCGATTGGTACATATTTCGAATTTCAAATAAAGAGCGCCATTCTAGAAGACGCGTGGAAGTAAGCAAACATAGGAAGCCTGCATGCTTCGAATGTGGCGTGATTTTAGAATAGGGTTGTTAGGGTCAAGACACTATAAATAGGTGTTCTTATGTTAGATTTAAAAATGTTCACTTTTATGTACTAAAAGATCTCAAAATACTCTAACTTTCGTGAATTAAGGAAAACGAGTCAGAAGATACAATGTACGTGTTGAACATCATTACTTTTTTACAATTTCAATACAAGTCTTGTTATATTTAGTTCACCATTACAACATTTATGCCCTTAAATCCTTCGATTTCCTTGCATTTCTTTGTTTTACTTACCTTTAAACACAGTCACTTCGTTAGACAGTATTTCTGCCCTTTAAATCCTTCGATTTCCTTGCATTTCTTTGTTTTACTTACCTTTAAACACAGTCACTTCGTTAGACAATATTTCTTCCCTTAAATCCTTCGATTTCCTTGCATTTCTTTGTTTTACTTGCCTTTAAACACAGTCACTTCGTTAGAAACTTTACTTTTACTTTATCCTTTTATTCAAACACTTATCTTTATATTCAAGCCCTTTCTAATTCGAAGCCTTCCCTGCCTACATTCAGTTAGTTTATTCCTATAGACCATTTTAGAAATCTTTCCTAAGAATCTCGTATTCGAACTTAACATACAATATAAGTCTATCAATATAATAGATATGAACATGGAAATAAGTTATGACACATGTGTTCTAGGATCAATCTAGTCGATCCTGCAAGTAACCAATAATAATTAGTAAATTGGAAGACTAGCGGTTGTTTACTAGAAATCACTGTAAACAAATTGGCACACCTGATGGGACAGTGTCATAACAAAAAGTTTTATCAAACAAACATATTAGAGAAGTTTTAGGATTTTCTGAGTGTGGAGCGCGTTTCAGTACATGAACCTTCGAAGCGGCAAAATAAAGAATAACAATCCACATATACCTAGAAAACAACGTACTAAAATAATGGTTAATACAACCAACCAAGATGGGGTACAGAATCCCCCACAGGGGGCTGCAACAATCGTTTCAAGTTCGATTGATGCCTCCAATGTTATTCCTGTTGGCAGTTCGAATACAATCCCAGTAAGTACATTAGACATGCCATCAAATGTGTCTTCAGTACAAACTGTGCCACACATAGGGAATCAACAGTATTCGACCCCCCATAGGCCTCCAGGTTTTGAACCTTTGAGACCCAGAAATCCTCAGTATGGGATGCCAACTTCGTTTATGGCAGGGTTACATAATGCAACAACTTCGTCCCCACTCCAAGGATCTGGTTCAGGAATGAACCATTTGGGTACAAATTTCTAGAATATAGGAAACTTTGCCCAAATGCCTACTCTTACAACTAATAGTCAGGCAACGCTTAGGCAACAAATGGATGATAGCAATCATGATATGATAGGCATCCTAGCTCGTGAAATGAATGCTATTTTCAATCCCCTAATCCAGAATATAAATAGAACAAACCAAGAAAATGCAGCCCGGATGGCCAGAATAGCAGATTTCTTTGGTGCCCCTAATGCGCCTGTAAGGCGTAGGCAAGACCCAATGGAAATTCGAAATGAAGAACCCATAATCGAACGAATTCGACCCCCTGTGCAAGTGGTCGAAGAAAGAAATATAGGGGTGAGATTAAGAGATCAGGGAATTCAGGAAGTTCAGAATGAACAGCCTAGACCTATACTGATGGTGAATAGGGACCAAAATGCAGACGAAAGTGTTCATAGAATTAGAAATGACAATTTAGTGGCAGAAAGTAACCTCACCACCATGATTGAAAGAATAATGACCCAGAATGGTTTAAATTAAGGATTTAGGAGGCCAAATTACACATCTCCTATTGTGGATTATATTTTGCAAACAGAATTACCCAGGGGCTTGAAAGTTCCTAAATTCACGAAATTTGCTGGAGATACAAGTGAATCAACAGTGGAACATATAGCAAGATATTTAACAGAAGCAAGAGATATAACAAATGATGAAAATCTTAGGATAAAATACTTCCCAAGTTCTTTAACAAAGAACGCTTTTACTTGGTTCACCACCTTACCCCCTGGATCTGTAGACACATGGCCTTATTTAGAAAGGCTTTTCCATGAACAATTTTACATGGGTCAGTCTAAAATCAGTCTCAAGGAACTAGCAAGCATTAAGAGAAAATTCACGGAATCAATAGATGAATATTTGAATAGATTCTGTTTATTAAAATCCAGATGCTTCACAGTGGTCCCTGAACATGAATTGGTCGAAATGGCTGCTGGGGGCCTAGATTATTCCATTTGAAAGAAATTGGATACACAGTATCTTAGAGATATGGCCCAACTAGCAGACAGGGTGCGTCAGGTCGAAAGATTAAAAGCTGAAAAATCTAGGGCTAGTAGAAATCATAAGAAAGAGAGAATAGCCTACATAGAGGCTGAAGAGGAAAACATAGATGATTCTCAAGACCCTTATGATTTCGATCAGTTCGAAATAGATCTTGCAGAACTAAAGGAAGCACCCCCTTATGCTTGCAAAGTTCTACTTCCTTCCAATGAAAAGGGTTCTCTCGAAAGTGAAAGGAATGATAAATTCCCCCAAAAAATCTATACTTTCGATATAACTAAATGTGATGAGATATTTGATCTACTTGTTAAAGATGGCCAGTTAATAGTTCCTCCTAACCTTAAGGTTCCTCCGTTGGAACAAAGGAAAAAGAGGGGCTTTTGTAAATATCACAACTTTTTAGGCCATAAAACCTCACAGTGTTTTCTTTTCAGTGATCTGATATAGAATGCAATCAAAGATGGCGGGCTGAAGTTCTCAGAAAAGGGAAAGAATCCAATGAAAGTTGATACTGATCCGTTGCTGATGGCGGAGACTAACTATGCTGAACCACTAGACATCAATGTGGTAGAAATTGTTGAGAGGAAATTTGAATCAAAAGTGGAATTCGAAGAGGATGGGGACTTCATCCTAATCGAAAAAGAGGCTATTGATGGCCTCCCATTGATCAAAAACGAAACAGAAGCTATTGATGGCCTCCCAAAGGTGCTCAAAGTAAAGATATTAAGTGACAGAAAATTAGCTGAGGCCACTGAAGGTCTTAGGATGAAATTTGAAGAAGTCAAAATTTATGATGACCAAATGCTGGGAGTGAATATGGTGGACTTCGAACAGCCTAATGCTGAAATGGAAGAAGTGGAACGCTGTTTAGAGAGGGAAAGAGAACAAAGAAGAGAGAACTTACCTAGAAAGGACGCAAGTTTGCGTGAATACCTCTTCCACTGTCATAAGAAAAATCAGGAAAAGTTGCTATGCCCAAGGTGCAGTATCATCTGCAACCCCAGAATTGTTGCTGAATTCGAAAGGGCCCAGCGTGAACGGACAGGAGTCAACTGGAGGCAAGACAACCAACTATACAAAGTCTATCCAAAAGCTGATGAAAGTCTGCTCGAATTCCTGGTTCGTTGCCACAAGATTGGAACAAAATGCTTGATATGTCCCAGATGTGCAGCAGTGTATGATAAGGAAATGGCTGAAGCATTCGAGAGAATTCCATTTGCGTCAGGCTGGGGGCACCAAGGAGGAATGCCTTCGAATCTTATTAGCACAGCCAGAAGTATGCCAAGGAGGCCAGATAGCCCTTATCTCAGGGGAGCAAAGAGAGTTTCCTTTAAACTACCTGCAGAAATCCCCACTGATAGATGGCTGCAAGTGAATGCTGATAAGGGAAAAGGGAAGTGGCGCAGCTTCGATCGAGGAGGCAGGACTGCAATGGCGTACATGAGGCAATTCAACTCAAACAGGAGGGAAGAAATAAGATTGGAAAATTATAAAGGCAGAAACCCAATGTCTCGCTCTCAGTGGCGCAGACACCAGAGAAACCAAAAAGCAGCAAGGGATTCGAAACCTACAGGAGTAGGTGAATCCAGTACCAATAACCCAACATCACTGAACCAGACTGGGGGCAAACCCCCAGTGTCCAGGAAACTTTTTTCTCCACAGAAGGACGCTACAGAAAATAGGACTCAGAAGGAAGCTGCGAACGAAGAGGACTTGATGACTGATGCCTTCAAATATGAGGGGGAATCCTTCTTCAATGCAAACTGCAATGTAGTTTCGGTGTTGCCTTGTGAGTACAATTAGGAAACATAGGTTTATGCTGATGAGGAGATTGATGAGGACGAAATGGCCATACATAGGCCAGTATGCTATTATGTGATGAACAATGGAGCGATCGAAGAGCAGAATGCTTTCTTTGAAAAGCCAGACGAAGGAATGAAAAACCATCTC